TAGACATGTTTTAATAAGGCAGAAAGCCTGAAATAGGAGAGTGAAGAGGGAGGAGCACGGAGCGACGTCCGCCCCCTCTGAGCGCTGGCGGACGACTGAGGGAGCCTGGCTCTTGACGGAGGAAGACCCTCCCAGCGAGTGAGGACCGCCGCCAGGCGAGGTGGAGTATGGACCCGCCCAAAACGGGGGAGTCCACTCTCACTGTATGTAGAGAACAGATAGAGGTTTGAGGCAAGCATATTGTGTGGTTATTTTTGTTTATGTGTTAAAGGGGAACATTTTATTGGAGTGTCGATGGGTTGCAGGTTTGTCTTTTGGGGAAGAAGTTGCTGAGAACTCCGAAGCCAGCAGATGAAGTAGCTGATGAGACTCCAAGGCAGTGGAGCAGAGGACCTCGAGCTGTGAGGAGAAGCAGCAGTGAAGAGGAGTGTCACGTGCTTCTGTAGAGGTGGAGAAGCACCATAGTTGCTCGGGGAAACTTCATGGTGTAGCAGCCAAGAGAGCTGTGGAGGACCCTAGCAGAAGGGTGAAGCACCGTAGTTGCTCAAGGAAACTTCATGATAGCAGCCTGGAGGAGCTGCAGAGGATCCTGGTAGTGAAGCCCGGAAGAACCTAAGGATAATAGGGTAGTGAACTTCCAGAGGTGGAAGGGGAAGTTCTGGTGGATTACTTATAGGGAGTTGATAGTGTTTGGTTGTCATTAGCGTGCAAGACGCAGTGAGAGGTGAGTGACTGTTGGCATTCTTATGTCAAGGAGTTTTTTATACTGAAGTATCAATGAACATTTATACTGGTATATGTTATTGCATTCAAATGCTGATTTTCTATATATATATGTTATCTTGCTGATGGTGCAACAGTGTATGTAGGCTTGATCAACTTGAGGAGGTTGATAGTATCAGGTGGTGAACCAGGAGATAGGATACCACTTGATAAGCTGATAATAGAGTTCTGATGGTGTTGGAGTGCAACCTGATTGTGATATTATAGATTATAGGATTCATTATTATTATATGTGTGTATGTATCGTGTATGTGCTTTGTCCAGTAAATGTGTCACAATTTGCTGGTGTTTGCCCTTGTCCTAGTGAGGCTTCCCAGGAGGTAGTAAAGAAGGAGAGAGAGAGAGAAAGAACCAAGAACCACTGCCGTGGACAGGGTAGGAGGTAATACTAGTAAGTCATAGGGGATTGAGGAGATCATATCTCATAAGGAGAGAGTGGGGAGTCACAGCGGCTCGAGTGGGTGTGTGCACGTGACAACGAGGCTAAGTGTTGGAGCCGCATCCCCTAAACGTGTGACGTTGAGCCCCTCTCCAAGAGCCAGAAGCGCCAAGGGTGATCTCCTAGTATAAGCACTCTGCCGAGTTGTGGGTTGGGTTGTCCATAGAGAAGGATCAACGACGACAACACCAACCAACCCACAGTCTATAATACTACACAGTAATTATGGCTTTGTAACGACACATTTTTATTGCAATGTGGCATTAGCTATACGTTTAGGTAGGAACACTAATTGAGAACGTTTAGGGGAAAAGTTTACAATTGATTTGGATGGTTTCACATCATTCAGTGAAGCAAATGTGGTTTTACAGCACATAGATATGCATTGCAAGGTTACTGCAAGGTCATTTGCAAGCATGATCGAACGTTTAGGGGGTGAAATACATTTCCGTTCTGGCACTTTACATACATCAGTTATACTTTCCACAGAGAAACATACAAGTATACTCATTACCCATGGTCACCTGCATTCGTCACTGTCAATCCCTTCATGTTGCAACCCGTTCTCGCACTTGCTTATAGTCAATATTGGCTTATTTAATAAGTGCATATGTGACATACTAATTGATTGTAAATATTTTAGTTTACCTTGAAAAGCTTCATAGAAAACACCGACCTCACCTAACCTTCTTAGTATGTTAAGATAAGCATCTTATTGCTTCTTATTTACAATTATTACTTAACCTATCAACGGTATAGGTTAAGCAATAATTGTAATTAAGAACCAATAAGATGCTTATCTTAAGATACTAAGAAGGTTAGGTGAGGTCGGTGTTTTCTATGAAGCTTTTCAAGGTAAACTAAAATATTTACAATCACTTAGTATGTCACATATGCACTTATTAAATAAGCCAATATTGACTATAAGCAAGTGCGAGAACGGGTTGCATTCTTCACCTGTCAAAACGCACCCCGCCCCAGCTCCTACCATATTCCATAATATTCATACCGTCCTAGCTAACCTATTTAATGAGAGAGTCTAAGAGAAAGTCTTCTAAGAGAGAAAGTGGGTGGTTTTGGTGAGGCATATCAGATGGTGCTCAAGCACCTCTGCCCCTTTTCTATGTACGGGATCAACCTCAACAATACCTGAATATGTACTTCTGCCTTTTCGTTTCATTCACATTTTTCAGGATAATTGCAATATTAGCCAATTACAGGTTGCTCCCATCAACCTTCCCTTTGTAACCCCCCCTCCAACCAGCTCCTCCCTCCCTCCAACCCAACCCATCTTTCCCTCCCTCCAACCAAATCCTCCTTCCATCCAACTCATCCCTCCTTTCCTCTAGGCAAAACTCCTCCCTCCCTCTAACCAAAGCCTCCCCCTCCCCCCCTCTAACCAAAGCCTCCCCCTCCCTCCCTCCCTCTAACCAAAGCCTCCCCCTCCCTCCCTCCCTCTAACCAAAGCCTCCCCCTCCCTCCCTCCCTCTAACCAAAGCCTCCCCCTCCCTCCCTCCCTCTAACCAAATCCTCCTCCTCCCTCTAACCTAAGCCTCCCCCTCCCTCTAACCAAAGCCTCCCCCTCCCTCTAACCTATGCCTCCCCCTCCCTCTAACCAAAGCCTCCCCCTCCCTCCCTCTAACCTAAGCCTCCCCCTCCGTCCCTCCCTCTAACAAAGCCTCCCCCTCCCTCTAACCTAAGCCTCCCCTTCCCTCCCTCCCTCTAACCAAAGCCTCCCTTCCACCCAACCAACTCCTCCCTTCCTCAAACAAACTCCTTCCTCGTCCCTCCCTCCCTCCCCCTCCCTAACCAACTCCTGCCCCCTTGCCCCAACTTCTCTCCCCCTCCCTCCAATCAACTTTTTCTTCCCCTTCCCTACAACCAACTCCTGCCCCCTTCCCCCAACTCCTCCCCCCTCCCTCCAACCAACTCAATCCTTTTTCCGTCCAACCATCTCCTCTTCCCCCTCCATCCCTCTCCTACCCCTTTCCTTCCAACATACTCCTCCCCCTCCCTCCAACTTCTCCCCCCCCCAACCATCTCCTCCCCCCCTCCCTCTAATCAACTGTTCCTTACCCTTTCCTTCAACCAATTCCACTTTCCCTCCCTCCCTCCAACCAACTCCACCTTCCCTCTCTACAACCAATTGCTCTCTCCCTCCTAACCCCCCCTCTCCTACGAACCCTACTCCCTTCAACCAACTCATCCCTCCGTCCCTCCAAACAAAACTCCTCCCTCCACCCAACCCCCGCTACTCACTCCTCCTTCCATTTTTATATCCAATATAAATAGTACAAACATTCCCATTTCCGCAACATACCCTTTCTATAATTAGTGATTACCAAGGCTTCTCTGCACCACTTTCCTCCCTCTTTTTATCCTCTTTACTCTCAATATACTAAGTAAAATTTCTGATAACAATTGTAATATTGTACATTTGAATCCTCACTTTATTATTTAAGAAAGTAGGTCTAATTTGTATTTAATTAAAGCGACAGAGACACTAAGACTGAATCAGATAGAGGGAAAACATATAATCAAAGAAAATATATAAACTGAGAGACACAGAAAAAGTGACACTGGTTCAGATACACAGAAAAAGTGACACTAGTTCAGAAACAGAGAAAAAGTAACACTGGTTCAGAAACAGAGAAAAAGTAACACTGGTTCAGAAACAGAGAAAAAGTAACACTGGTTCAGAACACAGAAAAAGTAACACTAGTTCAGATACACAGAAAAAGTGACACTGGTTCAGAAACACAGAAAAAGTGACACTGGTTCAGATACACAGAAAAAGTAACACTGGTTCAGATACACAGAAAAAGTAACACTGGTTCAGATACACAGAAAAAGTAACACTGGTTCAGAAACACAGAAAAAGTAACACTAGTTCAGATACACAGAAAAAGTGACACTGGTTGAGAGATAGACAGAAAAAGACTGGGACCGAGATATAAACAGAAAAAGAGACTAGGACTGAGAGATAGACAGAAAAAAAAGACTGGGACAGAGAGATAGACACTAATACAGAGACAGAGAAAGAGACAGTAATTAAGATATAAACAGAACAAATTGTGCAAAATAAGAGTTCACTAGAAATAAACTACATCTGAAAAAAGTTAGGTTAAGGACATGGAATAAGAACAAAAATTTACCCAACATAAACACAATTCCCCCCCCCCCCAAAAAAAGATGGTTACGAAAAGGAAAACATATCACAGAAATTATCCATAAAGATAAAAAAAGTTACGTAAAAGGGAAATTTATCCCAGAAAATATGCCCAACACAAAGACATAGAGATTTGAAAAAAGGATATGTTAAGGAAAATAAATCCCACAAAATATACCCAGCACAATAATCACAGAAATATTTGGAGGAATATTCAATGGAAAATCCAGTATATTAAAAGGACACGCCAGACAATCCATAACATAATACTCACATGATAGAAGCATTATCCCGGGTACCTCGACAATGATCTTGTCCTTGGTGCCCATACCAGACAACCCATAACATAATACTCACATGATAGAAGCATTCTCCCAGGTACCTCAACAATGGTCATCTCCTTGGTGCCCACACCAGACAACCCATAACATAATACTCACATGATAGAAGCATTCTCCCAGGTACCTCAACAATGGTCATCTCCTTGGTGCCTACACAAGACAACCCATAACATAATACTTGATAGACGCATTATCCCGGGTACAGAGGATCTCAACAATGGTCTTCTCCTTGCTACCCACACCAGACAACCCATAACATAATACTCACTTGATAGAAGCATTATCCCGGGTACAGAGGATCTCAACAATGGTCTTCTCCTTGGTGTCGGCGCCAGTCATGGCGTAGTGGAGCTCCTTGGCCAAAAACAGTGGTAGCGGTGTCAACAGAGCCACAATCACTGTCTTAAAGTGTCCGCTTAATTCACTCTTCAAATCACTCAACAAATCCTGAACATTCATTACAACATTATTATTTGCTCTAAAACCTATTACACTATATACTGTTCAAAACAAGATGAATGTAAGGAGTACTAGTTTTTATGTGTGTACTTAGATATGTATACATAGACTATGTGTGTGGGAAATTTCCCCTAGTTTATCTAAATTTGTTTAATTTCTATTCAACTAAACATGCACCAGGAAAAGATATTTCTGTTGCTGGGTAAATTCATCAAAACGACATTAAAGTTAAATTTTTCTTAAATAGGAAGAATTGTAATTAATTCCTCCTCTCATTATGAAAGAAAATGTCACTCATGTCACCAAAACATTAAGTAACAGCAAATTAAATTCTACACATAAACATTAAAGCTTACAGTCTGAAGACTGATTTATGCGTATATTATTTATATGAATTTCATTTAATCATACGGCAAAGAATGCAAATCAATATCCACTCTTTCTCTAAATGTATAAATTTTAGCATGTAAAGAAAACGAGTTACGGAGGATGGCGAAGAATCCATTTTTGACCGGGAGATAGAGCAGATGTGTTGGCTGTTAACTCGAAAGTTTTAATATTCATATTGTTCTTCAAGTGCTATCCAGTCATATTCACCCACGTCGACTCCTGGAATAAATGTTCTTCTGGTGATGTATATTTGGTTCTAAACGAGTGCGATCTAACATAATAATATCATTGGTTATGGCGCAGGCAAACACCAGCTAACTGGTGAGCGTAAATTCCTATCATATTAATTAATTATTAATTTCAGTTTGATTCACAAATAATTAAACCCAACGGTATTTGTACAATTTTACAATGTAATTTGTTGACAAGTAATTTATCAATGACACTGAAGCAGAAGTGTAGGGTTCGTCCACACGAGAGATGCCAGAACTTAGACACGTCCAGTCCCTGTCATCATGAACATCATCCTCCTTGAAGAACTAAGCTGTTTCATATTTTTATTGAGAATAGAACTAATTAATTTAATTAGTATATTTAATTAATTTACTTAATGAAGTAATTACTTCTAATCTAGTTAATTTCTGAATATAACCCCACCCCCAAGTTTGTGAGGGATTAGTTGTGTAGAGCTGCAAAAAAAAAAACCCAGTCCACTGCTTCAAATTAAACTTAAAATAAAATAATGTTTCATCATACAATATTAATAACTTACTCATTTGCACGTTTGAGTGGTACGAGGTGCCACTGTCCCTACTGATGGTGATTATAACGAGCTAACCTGACGTGCTCTACACCAGTGACACTAATTATCACTTTTCTCAACTTGTGTGTAAATATATTAAATTACTTATTAATTTGCCAATCTCAGAAAGGAAGTAGGACTAGTGCCTGATTATAACCACAGTATCCTTGCATTGTCTGCTTATCACTTATGAGCAAACACCCCTAGTTTTTTGAACTCATATATTATGAGCCAACCCATACAGCCAATCAGTCACCATGGTTGACCCAGAGAAATCAAAACGTGATCTAGTAGCACTTAAGGGTCATCTAACCAGGCAAATCAACAAAGGCGGTGAACACAAAAGGGGCTGCAGACCGGGAGATTATCAGCAGCTGGAGATATCACTTAGGATGGCTGACAGTAAGTTCAATCAGATAAAATGAATGATCGAATTCTACCAAACTGAGCTCCTAGCCAGCGACACTGATGTTGATGACTTGGAGCAAATTATGTCTGACCTGGCTCTGTATGAAGATAATACAGAAGGCAAGTTAGACCTATTCCTACTGATGCTTGTTCAACACAAAACAGCACCAACAGTCACAGTATCCCCATCCAATCCAGCTCGGTCAGAAGCTCGATTACCAGCAAGTGACTTACTAACTTTTGCTGGACTGGATGAAGAAAGTTGGGATGCTTTTTGAATATAATTTGAGACTCGGATTAACCTCAAGACTTCCATTTCTAAAATAACCAAATTTATCTACCTTCAATGCCTACTCAAAGGGGAGACCAAGAAGGTTACCCCGTGTCCCTCGATATAGCAATTAAGTTGTTACATGACAACTATTCAAATAAAGATATAAGCATAGCAAGTCTCTATTATCAGTTAGTGGATTTAGCTCCACCTACTAACAGACCAGACTTCCTTCAAATCTTTAGACTAGAAGTGGAGTCACTAGTGAAAACACTCAGTATCAAGGTGGTCTCTCAAACTAGACATCCAAAGGAAACTCCCTAAAGATGTTCTGGCTAACATCTGTTCACATTATAAAACAGATTTTCTCTTTCTCGAAGAAATGTTTGAGGAATTATGAATGACGGTTAATAGGTTGAAAGCCCACAATAAAATATAATCTACCACAGGAAAGATTTCTCTCGAGAAATCGGTGAAAACTAAAAAACCATCACCTCCTCCTAAGAGGAAATTTACCAGTGTGGGCACTTATGTAGTCACCCTCGAAGTCTACAGTTACCACCGTGTCACCCAAGGCGGTGAACACTAAAGGGGCTGCAGACTGGCAGACATGTTTATTCTGCCAAGAGGGACATTCCATCTACCACTGCACAACATACCCTGACCGTACCACTCGTGTCAAGCGGCTAAAGGAGTTGCAGATATGCACGACGTGCCTGAAGGCACATAACACCACCTTATGTGAGACCCCATTATGCATTTGCAACAAGGGTCAACATC